CCGGAAGGCAGTTGCAGAGCTCTATTATTGGCTGCAGAGGGCATTCCAGAAGGCAGTTGCAGAGCTCTATTATTGACTGTAGAGAGCTTTCTGGAAGGCAGTTGCAGAGCTCTATTCTTGGCTGCAGAAGGCTTTCCAGAAGTCAGTTCCAGAGCTCTATTATTGGCTGCAGAGAGCTTTCTGGAAGGCAGTTGCAGAGCTCTATTATTGGCTGAAGAGGGCATTCCAGAATGCAGTTGCAGAGCTCTATTATTGGCTGCAGAGGGCTTTCCGGAAGGCAGTTGCAGAGCTCTATTATTGGTGGCAGAGGGCATTCCGGAAGACAGTTGCAGAGCTCCCAGCACTTGACTGGGACTGATGGCGGCAGGTAGGCGACCAGGTCGGAGGTTGTACTTATCGATCCGTGTCTTCAGAGGCCAGGGTAGGCAGTCCAGGTGGGTGAGGACAGCTAGCGGTGATGACAGCTGGGGCTTGCATTTTCTTTAACGGCAGCCGCCGAGGGAGGCAGTCAAGGCAAGGCAGGCAGGAAGGCCTGGGAGGCAGTATGGGCAAGGCAGGGCCTGGGAGGCTGGCCGGCCAGGCAAGTGTGGTTAGCGGCGGTGGTGACTGGGGCTTGCGTCTTGCCCTCACTCACTCAGCAGGGCAGCAGAAGGCAGGCAGCAACAGCTGGCTGGCTGGCTGGCTGCCTCGGCTGCTGTTGCTGCTGCTGCTGCCGCTGGTGTGAGTGATGGCACCGGGAGAGTACATTTTTGTAGGTAGCTCACATGCACTATAAGGAGGGCTGGGCCAGGTGGGGGGAGAATGAGGCAAAGATTTTCACGCATGTGCAGTAAAAAAATCGGGTTTTCTAGTGTAGGAGCAGTGGATATGGGCGGGGCCAGGGCCAGTGAAGGGGCAGGCAAGGATGAAGCAAGGATTTTTGTGCATATGGAAAAAATGTCGCACATGCGCAGTAAAAAAACTCAGTTGTTTTAGCGTAGGAGCAGCGGACAGGGGCAGGGGCTGGGGCCAGCAAACAGAAGGGCAAGTGGGGGATAATGAGGAAAAGATTTTCACGCATCGCAAAAAATGTTGCACATGCACAGTAAAAAATGGTGTTTGGACCATAGGAGTGGTGGAGAGGTGCGGGGCCAGGCAGGGGTCAGTTTTACTGGTTCTTAGAACTACTGGTGACGTTAACAACAAGTTCTATACAACCGGTGCGAACCGGTAGAATCCCACCCCTGGATTTGACTGAATCGTTCTGAACTGATAGAATCCTACCTCTGGGATGGCCATATCTTCCACTAATTTGAAATCCAGATTTTTTTCTGCAGGTATCTTGTTAGCTCATTCTCCAGTTGTGCAAAAGACAGAGAGACCAATTATCCTGACATAGTTTGTCAATTGAACAAACCAAGAGGTGTTTAATTAAAAGTTTGTTTGTTCTGAAAGAGAGGATTTTGAGATTCTCTCACTTTCTATAGCTTTAATTTTAGACTACTAAATATATTTCCTGATTTTAGAAAAAGAAATAAGTTCATAAATTCAGAAATCAGCTCTGAGGGCAACAGCTGAAGTCCTTTTATCTACCTATAAGATAATTTTATGATGGTATGATTTTATTTGTTCTAGTAATGATATATTTTAAGTACTAAATACCAGTTCTACATAAGAACATTTCAGTAAATTTAGGATTATAGACAGTAATACATTGGGATAGAGAACCTGAAAAGTTTGGATTTTCTTTTTAATCTTATGCAATAAATTTTTATACCCTTGTTCTAAATCATAAGAAAAGA